AGAATGTTTAAGATAAATAGACAGATCATTATTTGAGTTCGTTGAGGCAGCAGGTGGCGGAGACGGCTGACTGACGCTTGCAAGAGGAAAGAGTCTCCCAGAGCGTAATTAGTGCTTTCAACGGTTTATAGCCGTGCCACGGGGTGGCAAGTACCGCCACTGGGTGGCAAGTACTTCAAGGTTATTAGCGGTGTGCGGCAACGGTTCTCTCTGGTACTTCAAGCAAATTAATGCTGTCATTGATATGTTAAGTCAAACTGTAGGGCAATTTTCACTACTATTATAAGAACAAATATTTGCTGCAGGTGTTCTTTCGTAGAAAGTCCATCCACTGCCCACCTTCTCTCCCCCACCTCCCCCTCTCTCCCCCCCCCAATCTCCTTCCCCACCCTTTAAGTTCTGTTAGGTAATACTGTTAAGAGGGGGGAACCGCTCCTTTGCCAGGTAAGTCCACTACGGGCTCACCTTAGCCCGTGCTACTTGCTCTGCTCCTGTGCCAGGTAAGTTACGGGCTCACCATAGCCCGTGCTACTTGGAACTTGTTCCGAGTAGCTGAATCTATAACAATAACAACATACTGTTAAGAACTGCCGTTCAAAGTAAGCACGACTCGTGTGACGAGTAAGGATGACAGGCGGAGGGGGGGGGGAGAGAGCATCAATATTAGACGAGTTTTTAGAGTTTTCTTGTGACGTGGGTCTCTACCTGCCATGCAACACGCGCTAATTATTCCGTAAGGTCTTTAATGCTAGGGATACCTGCATCTATTTTATTTAGGATGCTTATGAGGTAACGGGAACCGTCGTTTGATCCTTTGAAACGTCATTGTTTTCCTGATAAAATAACTTCCATTTCATGTTGAAGTATAATTCCCTTCAATTTGGAATTTGGAGTATATGAAGTTTAATCTGAAGTATAAGTCTGCTTACATCGTTTGAAATCCTAAATACTACGCAATTAGGATTACACTGTTATTTCAGCCTTACCTTGCGGTTACCTTGCAATGATTCCGGGGCTTCGCGTTCCCGCGGCCCGGTCCCCGACCAGGCGTCCTCGTTGCTAGACTGGCCAACGAGGCTGTTGGACGCAGCTGCTCGCAGCCTGACGTGTGAATCACAGCCTGGTTAATCAAGTATCCTTTGGAGGTGTTTATCAAATTCTCTCTTGAACACTGTGAAGGGGTCGGCCAGTTGTGCCCCTTGTGTGTAGTGGAAGCGTGTTGAACAGTCTCGGGCCTCTGATGTTGATAGAGTTCTCTTTCAGATTACCTATTGCACCTCTGCTTTTCAACGGTGGTATTCTGCACATCCTGCCATGCCTCCTGGTCTCATGTGGTGTAATTTCTATATTCGGGTTTGGGACCAGCCCCTTTAGTATTTTCCATGTGTAAATTATTGTGTATCTCTCCCGCCTGCGCTCAAGAGTATACAGATTTAGGCATTTTAGACGGTCCCAATAGTTTAGATGATTTACTGAGTGGATTCTATCAGAAAAGGGGCCTTTGACTTGGTTAGTTATATAATTACAATTTCGGTGTTTATTCTCGCTAGTATTAGAATAGTGTGAATATTGCTCCTCCCGCGGCAGTGTGGATGGAAGCTGGAACAAAATCCAAGACTAGGTACGCTCGCAGGCACACGCGCGCACGCACACACACACACACACACACACACACACACACACACACACACACACACACACACACACACACACACACACACACACACACACACACACACACAAAGAGCCAGAGCTCAACCCCCGCAAGCACAACTAGGTGAGTACAACACACACACACACACACACACACACACACACACACACACACACACACACACACACACACACACAAAACACTAACGCATCTGCAGTAATGTGGAAATTCTTTTTCCAGCCCTCGGAATCCCTGGAAATTGTTCAGACGTTCTTCCAGTTGACCGCCAGACAATACGAACAAGTTTTGCTGCAATAAGAAGGTTAAAATAAGTCTTGTGAGTTATTAAGTTAGAGGAAGAACAAACTTGACAAGAAAAATACGCAAAGAAAAAAGTATAATACAAAATCTGTGTACTTGAGGATGGACGATATTTTTAAACAAGGAAGAAGAGACAGACTAAAACCTGGCTGAGAGTGTGAAGTGTGTTGCTGGAAGTGTGAGTGTGTCGCTGGAAGTGTGAAGTGTGTCGCTGTAAGTGTGTGTCGCTGGAAGTGTGAAGTGTGTCGCTGAAAGTGTGAAGTGTGTCGCTGGAAGTGTGAGCGTGTCGCTGCAAGTGTGAGTGTGTCGCTGGAAGTGTGAAGTGTGTTGCTGGAAGTGTGAGCGTGTCGCTGCAAGTGTGAGTGTGTCGTGTGTTGCTGGAAGTGTAAGTGTGTCGCTGGAAGTGTGAGTGTGTTGCTGGAAGTGTGAGTGTGTCGCTGGAAGTGTGAGTGTGTCACGGGAAGTGGGAAGTGTGTCGCTGGAAGTGTGATTGTATCGCTGGAAGTGTGAGTGTGTCGTTGGAAGTGTGAGTGTGTCACTGGAAGTGTGAGTGTGTCGCTGGAAGTGTTAGTGTGTCGCTGGAAGTGTGAGTGTGTCGCTGGAAGTGTGAGTGTGTCACGGGAAGTGTGAGTGTGCTGCTTAAAGTATGAGAGAGCGAGGCGGCATGTTTGGGTTTAATAGAGTAGAGTAGTAGTAGTAGTTTATTATTATTATTATTATTATTATTATTATTATTATTATTATTATTATTATTATTATTATTATTCTACCACAGACGTGGCCACACATTTACAATGCTCACCAGCATATATACATTTTCTTCTGTCCTTCATGGACAGGGTTAGAGATGTGTTAAACATATAGTTCAAGGGTTTCTATATAAAGATGAGTAGTAATTAGATGATTACCAATAATTTCCCATATGTGGCCAATTTCTGTATTACCCTCAGTTAATGCCAAAACTCATACTTATTTACTTTTGCATGTAGCTCAATTGCATTACCTTATACAATGTACGAGGGCATAAATTCTTGTAGGAAGACAGCGTGCGCTAAATATACTAGTTATAGCCGAACTAGAAGTGTTTCTTTGAATGAAGCCGAGAAGAAAATCTACCAAGTGAGGAGAGACTTTTATAATAATAAATATGCGGTCCATGATATCGTTCCCCATTTGCCAATTGGACGAGAAGCAGTATTCTCAACGTGGTATGGCCGGTGGCAATGGCAAGGACAGACAGCCTATATATTATAAGAGTAAGAAAACCACCAACATGCTATTGAAGAATTCTCCCGACACCAAGAAAAACGCCTTGAAACAGACAAACGTTGTCTATGCCTTCACATCAACACTTGGGGACTGTCAGCCCCCCCAAAATCTCAGTATATAGGCAAGACAACAATCTCTCTAGGCGATTAACAATGCACAAGGAACAGGCTCCATCAATGAGCATATAGTTTCCTCACACAACCAGACCATCACCAGAAACAAGCAACACTGAAATAATCAACAGGTATAACATCAACAAAAGACTGGACATCAGCAAAGCCCTACACATCAAAACGTCAAGACCAGCAATCAACAACCAGTTAACACATAATTACATTCTACTCAATTCAAGACCCCGAACCAACACAGAGACAGTAGAAGCAAGAACATAAGCTGCCTATAATCATGCACATAATAGCCTATTAATAACCATTATGTTTCATCCTCCACTTGTTCATCTCAATCACGTCCTGTACTACCTCATCCCAAGCAAATATATATATATATATATATATATATATATATATATATATATATATATATATATATATATATATATATATATATATATATATATATATATATATATTTAATTAAGAGTTTAAGTGCAGTATATATTTATGTAATTATTTCTATGTCTGGTTTCAGAGATAAGCAAATTGCAATTTGCGTGCAAGCTATTTAGACCAAGTAATGAGGATCTGAATTCGGAGATAATTAAGCGCTCTACTGCAGTGTTTCCAATAATTTTGAGTGCTAACATAATAGCAACCTATAACGTGGACGCTCAGTTATTGGCCTATATTTTCCTCTGAATTGTGTTATTGTTGCCTTATATTTTATTTTATCATATGTAAAATCTAAGTCATTTATTGAACTTATGTTGCATGAAATGACAAATCATTTCATTGCTAATTATTAAGAATCCGAAATTCGTGTACTGTATCCACACTACGATTCTCGCAGATAAACATGATATATGTAATGTAAGTTAAAGGTGTGTAGCCTAAATCATAAACAGCAACACTTCCATTACCCTGTAATATCCAATATTGAAAATTTAAAATATATTAATATGACTTTACTTCAATGTATAATATTATTATATGGGTAAACAAAGCAGTTGCAATTGTTAAGACTAATGTTAAACAACATACAATGGTGTTTGAAACTTGTTGATCCTATGTAATCCTTTTGTGCTACTGGTCAGGGAATGAGCAAGGGGTTGCGTAATAAACTACCGCTCAGGAGATGAATATGAGAGGCACAATAAACTATCGCTAACAGGATGAGTATAGTGTGCACAATAAACTAGCCGTCGCTGGCGGTAACAATTAATAAAAACCTCTCACCATGCCCAGGAAGTAAACTTGGGTTCCGTTATACATTGAGAGTTTGTGAAACATTTCGTCTGATTAGGTGTGGGATTTATTAATTCAACTCTCACCGCTGTACTGACATGAAATTAGTGAATGTTCGCATCAAAATTATTACAAAACCCAAAGTATCTACTTTGTACACATAATAACTTTAGTAAGTGATGCAGGAGTAATATTGGTACAGTGGAATTTTAATAGTACCGGGGTTCTCCCAAAATTGTACAATAACGGCAATTGTTAATAAGTAATCAGGCTACCTTGTGTAGACTTTGGTAGCCACAGCGCTGTGCAGAGATATATACAACGAGTTGAAGCTGCAACAATATCAGTGAAATACAATCCTTCGCGACCTTCGTCACTGCCCTCTGGTGTCCTCTTCAGTGATCGCTGGAGGCCCGATGCAGGTGCAGGAAAATCCACCCAAAACATCCGGCACATGTCAGCACGGGAAACAACACCTGTGACGCCGTATTGAACTTTTCAGCTGTACTGAACACTTTCTTGTGGGGAATAAACACACCATTCCCCAGGTGGCGTCCTGCAGGGACACGACCAACCCCGGCCGGTGAAACCTTCATGGTCTTCTTAAAGTCACCAATGGAAAAGTCTCCCCGGAAGTTATCTTTCAAGCGCTGGTTCTCGATGACCACTAGAGTGACGACAATGAGGAAGTCCGTGATGATAAGAGACACGTACCAAATGTCTATGAGCTTAAGATACGCAGTCTTGGGGATGGACTGGCTGGTCTGGGTGAAGAGGGCAGCCAAAACCAACAGCGACGTCAACGACACCATGATGCGATCCTGCAAGATATATTAATTTACCCTCCAATTTGGTTGGATTTCTTCTCGTACTCGATTTACTTATAGTATGTACAAACTAATTGCTAGTGCCACTAACCAGTAGTTTTGTCTCAAGCACCAGAACAAAGATATAAGAAGTAAATAATTGAGACGTAATGTGTGAGAAGAAAGAAAAAAAAGCTGAAATTTAATACCGTAAAGTCCTCCATGTCGAAGAAAAAGGTGAGGTAACAGATGGCGACCATGAGGAGGCTGGGTATGATAGCGTTGCCTATGTAGTAGCCGTACTGGTTCTGGAACCTGAGGCGTACCTGTATCCCGGGAAGCCATCCCATCGCCAGAGGGACATCCCATCACCAGGGAGAAATCATACCACAAAGGAAACAATCATTAACATAGCAGGTAAAATCTTAATTGCATAATATTTCATATATAATCTCATTAATTTACAAGCGTGTGAGTGTTTCCTCAAATACCAGTAAGACCAGATAATGTGACAAAAAAGTATCGCTCTTGAAGCCACACGCAGAGGAACTGAGATTCAATTCAGCCTCGTGAATTATGTTTTCGAAGGGCTTGGACAGTCACGCCGTCAGCAGCCTATTCTCAAAAACATTGGTCAGTGCTCGGTAATACATAGGTTGCTCCCTTGTTTATGAATAACATACACATCACTCACAACTGATTATGTACAAACTTTTCTAAAACCCTTGCTCACAGCCTATGTACGGATCGCACCTCTAAAGAGGTTACCCTCGTACTGTTAATACAGATAAATATTGCTAGCAGATCCAAAACTCCAAACCCAACCTACCCTAGGGCAAGCAATTCACAAAATATTAATATTTATTATTAATTTATATTTGAGAAAATACCGCTTATTATTATACAAGTTTGTAATATTATTAATTCGCATTTGAAGTCGGCGCCAGTATCCACGAGCAGAGCATGAGGATTAGTTGAAAATTACGTGATTTAACTCTGTTAAATTAACCACTTAGTCCTAAACTTTGATTGGTGTGTTCGACCTTACTCCTTTTGATGGGGCTTAGTAGCATCAGAGTGCACCTGCATGCTTATTGAGCACTCACACGCATCCCACGCACGTTCTCGATGACATGAAACATCCCATCACCAGGGAGACATCCCTCATCACATACGCCCCAAAGATAATGATACGAGCGCTTCAGAACTTGGCACAAGACCTGGCTGGACATTCACCTGCACGGACGCTGTCGCGTTGTCCCGGCTCACAAACGTCTCGTTCACCAGCCGGTACTCCAGGAGCCGCCTCTCTCCGCTGAAAACCACCTCCTCCTATACATGGACAATACAGTCTAACACCCCGTCTTGTACGTGGAAAACACAGTCTAAGACCCCGTCATGCACGTCAACAACACAGTCTAAGACCCCTCCGTGTACATCAACAATACAGTCTAACACCCCCGTCATGTACATGGACAACACAGTCTTACACCTCCCTCATGTACATGGATAATAGCCTTTATATGTTCTGTAAAACACAGCTTCACTTCTCTCCTGTTTAATATCGTCTTGCAACCTCTCTTTACATTAAAATTTCCCTCTTGTCTACGACAGTAGACTGGCCTCCATGGTGACACGAAGCCAGAGCTAACCAAGAAGACAACTGGGGTGTTAATAATTGTTTATCTTCCCTTCTGATTACTCCTGAGAGCAATATCGGTATGGGATTGGTATATAAAATGAATCTAATATATTAGAAAGCAATGATAATTGCGTAGACATTAGCCTTAGATTGCATAAAATTAATCTAGTTATTATTAATAAATATATTTATTGTTAATTGCAGGAACCTTAAAAATGGAAAATTAATGCTCAGGCTTCATTCTTTTATAAATATTTGTAAACTAGAGTTATTAGTTATGTTAAGGGATATATACTGTGCAACGAAAGATGCTTTCAATTACTCTTTGTACATACACTGCTAGTTTCCAGACTAAAGTTTACTAGTTTAGTAAAGTCAGTAACTCTTCAGAGGTCAGTAACTCTTCAGAGGTCAGTAACCCTTCAGAGGTTGTTAGGCTTTAAGCAGAACACTAAACCAAAACTAGTCCTGTGAACTACGAAGAGTCTTTAAAGGTTTTCAAATATAAGTTCAGTTTCTTATTAATCAATTTTCTTTCATAAGTTTATTAGCTTATAATGTGAAATTTAATGCATATGTATTTATGACTGGATATTTATTTGTTTGGCAATGGCCTCGTGACACATTGTATATAACAAAATTTCAACTAAATTAAACAAAATTGCTTAATAAGTGTCTTGTGAATTTATAAATTTCTCAAATGAAACATCCTTAATGGGGGATATGGCTTAAAACGTGGATGATTGTGTATATCTATTTTTTTAATAATAGTTACTTAGTAGAAATAACCAAAAGGAAACTACTCTTGTTAGCACAGGTATTATGCACTGGTTTATTTCTGACCTGCAGTAGAAGAATGTTGCCTTCGGACTGGTCAGAAATGGAGAAGACCAGGAAGCACATCTGGGAGTCGAACGGGTAGGCGTGCAGCAGGAACTGACAGGTGGCTGACACTGTGTACTGCTGCACCAGCTGCACCGCGCTCCCCGACCCGCTGTACAGCTCGTCTGCAACACCAACACTCTACATGGAGGATCACCACTACTTCTGATACAATCATCAGGATACAATCATGACTTAATATCACCATGGCTTCTCAAGGAGGTTACAGAGGTACTTTGCCACCTGCCAACAAAGATATTAAATAAATTCTTGAAACAGGTTTCCCAAATGCCTGGAAAAATGGCAAACTTAGTTCCTATATATTAAAAATAGTGGACAGAGAAAAAGTGCTACTAACATATATTCCGCGAAAAGTTCTATTGAAAATAATCAGGAAGAGAACAATTGAGAACCTGGAGAGGATATACATTGTAAGGGAAAGACAACATGAATTTAAAGGGAGAAAGTCATGCCTGACAAACTTGATCGAGTTCAATGACAAAGTTTTCCAAAATACTACAAGAAAAAGGAGAATGGCCAGACTGTTTCTTCCTAGAATGTCAAATTGTGATTGATACTGTTTTTCATGAAAGGTTGGTGGGAGACTAACTGGGGTATTTAGAGATTAACTGGGGTATTTAGGTAAATATTGAACTTGATAAGGGAGTACCCTACAAACGGAAAACAAATGTTCACAGTCAGAGAGGAGATGACAAGCTGGAGGGATGTGATAAGTCAGGCCCTTAAGGGTCGTCTTACGACCATGGTTTTTAGTAAATAGTATTAAATTATTATTACCTTACAGTAAAATATTTTAGTACAGAATTATTAGTCTATAGTAAAATAATGTGAATAAGAGGTGAGCAGGGTAGTGCCTGACCTTCAGAGTAGTTGGTGTCGTCATCGGGAAGTGGACGAGAATCACGTTTCACCAGCATCTTCACCAGGCGCAGCTGCACGTCTGTCGGGCTGTTCGAGCCGTCGCTCACTAAAATATCAGGCTTCCACATCGTCTCGTTCACCTTCAAAACACCACAATACGATCAGTCGTGTGTTTGTCCTCAGAACTGCAGAGAACATGGATATATAATTTGATATTAAAATAAGTTATTGATTTGCGGAACAAATCAACATGTTTTAATATCTATTATGTTACTGGGTAACATAATAGACATGGAACCACTGAACTGTTTCGAACGTAGGTTAGACATATGAGTGAATTTGGCTGGGTATAAACAGTGGCTGCCTCGCATTGGTCTTGTTGTAGTTTCATCTACTCTCATGTTCTTATGTTATAGGTGAGAATAGCCTGTACTTGAATTTAGAAGGAAAAATCCAACGAGGGGTTCAGTTGTTATGAACAAATGTGGTTTGGAAGATCTAGCGCCACCCTGATTGCTATAATAATAATAATAATAATAATAATAACAATAATAATAATAATAATAATTACAATAATAATAATAATAATAATAATAATAATAATAATAATATTTATTCAGGAAAAGTACATACATAATTTACATTGGTGTACATACATCTACATACATAGATGCAGAGTTACAAACATACTGTTGGATTTATAGATAGAGCTAGTACATACAATACCTAAAGCCACTAATACGCATAGTGTTTCGGGCAAGTAACGTGAAGGATAGTCTACAAGTGGAAGGGAGAACTGAAGAACTTAAGCACTTTAATTTATTTAGTGTTCCCACTCCCTCTGACAGAGTCACTTATCGTAACAGAAATATATATAAATTACAAAGTTTCTATTTAGTGTCATAATTCATCATGTCAGTGGAACAAACTTAGAAAAGAACAAAGAAATGATGAAGTATGGTGAATAGTGAGGAGAGCATTGTGTACGGTTTTTGAAGAAGGCATTCGAGCCTTGCTGTGTGCCTGAGACCTTCAACTTGGGAAGAACAAAGACGGCAGGAATAAGATCATGTGGATAGGAACTATAATATAAAGAATAGAAAAACAGCACCACGGTTCATTTTTTAATAATCGTTCATCGAAAGGCGAAATCTGTCGATGCAAATTCACTAACCTTAGGAAAAAGAAGCAGAATTAGACAGAGTAGAAAATAAAGCTCAATAGACGGTTCTTGAAAATATGAAGATGAAAGGTGTAGGGGAAACATATAGTAAAGAGAAATACGACATGTGCTATATTGCTCATATTAAACTTATTTACAAATGCTATTAAGGCAGGAAAAACTTGCTTACCTTCGCTTTGTTTACGAAATCTCCTGTGCGGAGATTTCGTAAGATGAGCCTCGTATCCTGCCATTTGATACTTTGTATTATGTCAACAGCGAAGCTAAATCCAGACAAGTCAAACTTCCTGACCGATGTGATATCAAGGGTGATGTTGAGTGACAATAGCGGTGACTCTAGGGCAGGAGGAGCTAGTTGTGAAGAGTACCCTTCAGGGAAGGAGATGACCTCGCAGTTGAGCTCGTCAGTATGGTCAGGACAGTCAACTTTATAGTCGCAGCGCTTGCTCTTGTTGACGCACGAGCCGTCACTGCAGGTGAAGTCACTCTTGTCACACGATGTCAACAGAAGTTCGACCTACATACATAACAAAGGGTATGTAAATGTTTACAAGGTACGTCATACCCGAGAGTTATATTTTGAGATGCACTCTTCAGTACATTTAGCTTCGATATCAATAAAACTGTGATATATTAGAGAACGTTAACATACCTCCTCTTGAGCACAGGTGTCGCCTCGCACGTGCCAGGTGTTGAGGCCGAAGGGGTAATCCTCGGGCTTCTTCATAACCATCTGCGCTTTCACCGCCTTCTCCAGGCGGCTCTTTATCACCCATGTATCATTCTCCCAAATGATTCTGCTCAAGAAGATGCCTTCAAATATTGGCTTCATGTTGTAGTAGTCGTGTGGTATGTAAAATCGGTCAAACTTTGACAGTTTACACAGTCCTCGCAAATGGAGTGTGTGAGTTTCCGTGACGTTACATATTGGACACTGGCGGATGTCACAGGGCGATGCAGACCACACATACTTAAAGAAGATACTAGCCACAGCCACACACTGGTACTCGTCCGTAGGGTTGGCCCAAGCTGCAGCAAATTGGTGCCATCCTAATGGTTCTCCATCCGATAACTTTGTCCACCATGTGCTGGTCAGGTTTGCCCTCAAGCCGAACCAAAACGCCGTTCCCCAACTATCTGCGCAATGGTTGTTGAAGTCTTCAAATTTGTCATAGATAGCCTCGTTCTCTTGTTTGTTACGGGGGACGACGATACCCCCAGAGAAGAAGCTACACATAGTCACTGCTCGGTCAAAGTCTACTCTCTCGGGAACGATCATGGATGTATCCGGAGACGAAGAACAGATGTCACCCAGGCTAATATTATGAATCTTAATATCACCTATTAAGTCTAAATTTGTCATATTTGTATCGAATGCATAAAGTGGTGAATGCAGTTCGATGCTGGAGTTGCAAGCGACAAATTCTTGCAAGTGCTCAAGAGGCAGAGCAACATTATAGAACCTGAAGTCTGCCAGATCGCCGTGAAGAGCCTCACTGAAAGTGTAAATACCTTCTGGGTTATAGTTCTGTCCCAGCAGGAACCGCCCGCCTCCCCTCACCTTCTGCGTCCTCTCTTGAGTGATCCCCGGACGGCGCAGCGAGGCCTTGTGTACCTGCTCAATAATAAACGGCCGGATATGAGTGTTGCATTGAGCTATATAATTGACTTATTGCATTCTTCGGTCCTTAAACATGTGTGTGTGTGTGTGTGTGTACTTGATGGGTTACCCGGCTGTGACCGGGTCTCTGCCCCATCACCACCTATCCTCTCCCCATCTCTCGCCTCTTTCATCCCCTTCCCTCTCTGTACCAATACCGTTTCCTCCTTCTGCTTACCTCTCCACATTTTTCCAAATTTCCACCCTCTCTCACCTCCCCCATCCATTTACCTTCCCCCCCTCCCTCTCTCTCTCTCTCTCTCTCTCTCTCTCTCTCTCTCTCTCTCTCTCTCTCTCTCTCTCTCTCTCTCTCTCTCTCTCTCTCTCTCTCTCTCTCTCTCTCAGAAAATTGAATATTACCAACAGCCGAAAAACTGCTGAAAAAATCTACAAAAAATGAATCCCCGATTTCAGACTTCGAGCAAATCGCAGACTTCGTGTAAGTCTTCGTCTCTATAGATGCCACTGTTTCTTAAAGGGTGGCACTGGGGGCCGACCTCGATTGTCCTATGACACTTTCATACTCCCTTCCCTCCCATGTGTCATCCTGGAAAGTCGGGTGAGGCTAGCCCTCCTCTGTCCTTCAACCTTGGACCACACAGAAATTCACTTTACACAGATAGTGTAAATATACATATATGTACATGTATGTACAGATACATACATAAGTATGCCAGAGCACTAGGCCACCCACCACAGTATCGAAGATCATGTATTGGGGGTCGGTGGTCATGTCAGCTGAGACACACAGGTGATGCCAGAAGTAAAGCCGGAGGGGCACCTTCACCTTCATGAAGCCGGTGTAACTGCAGCACTCCAGCCGGAGCTCTGACTGTGGCCAGTCTATACCTGCAACACACACACACTCGTCTCACGGCGTGGCCAGGTCTGATAACACTGAGCACCACACTGTAGGAGCTGAGTTCAGTCTCCTCTAGTACAGATATGTAAACACACACATACACATACGACCAAAGAGCCAGAGCTCAACCCCTGCAAGCACAACTGAGTAAAAGTAACTAAAGTAAAATGGCAAGAATGACATTCCCATTGACTGTTCTACCAAAAAAAAATGATTGTTTTACTAGCTGAGAGAGAACGCACCAGGCCTGGGACTCACCCAGCATGATCTCCTGGTAGTGGCTTCCCGCGGTGTAGCTGAGCAGGGTGTTGAGGCGCGCCAGGTGTAGCAGTCGTACCCTCATACACACCGTCCACTGTGGAGGAGTGTCAGGGCTCACACAGTGCCAGGGTTCACACGGTGTCAGGGCTGACACAGTGCTAGGATGGTACTAGGGTTCACACGGTGCCAAGGTGATGGCAGGGTACACCATGTCCTGCTCAATGTACCCTGAGTCACACAGTGCTGTGGTCTCCGGGGGTTAGTGCTGGGGGTCATACAGGCTCGGGGGGTCAAACATTGCTGCGGTAATATATGGTTAAAGTCAAGCAGGTTTAGAATCAAACAAGATCAAGTTAATCCAAAAGAAGACACACAGAGCCACAGTGTTTTGGTCACATAGTACCTTGGTCAAAAAGTGCTTCAGGGTCCTTCAAGACCGAGACCATACAGTTCAAGATCATACCAATTGTACCACGTAGCCACACATACAGGAATTACGTTAATTACCAACGAAAATGTTTTAACATGAATGTAACTGACTAATAAAAGGCAATTTATATTATTATCTAAGTATATACATTTGTAATAGTCTATCAATGGCCAAGATAGATTGGTATGTGGGAGTAATGCACAAATTCGCGTGTGTCACTGTGAGCATTAATGCTGACGTACACACGATGACGTTAATTTCACCGAGTTGAGCTTCTAGAACAGCGTCACAAAGAGATGTATTTCACTAATAACCTCATTCACTATCATGAGACATGAACAACATATTAAAAGAGCTGGACTAAAGACACTCCCCCATACTGGCATGCAGAGGAAGAGATGTAGCATCACCTGGTGGAGGTCCGGGAGAGAGTGGTCGCCACTGTCCAGGTAGGTGGTGTTGGAGGCCGTCTCCATCTCTTGTAGTCTCAGCACCTTCACCTCGGGCCATCCTCCGGAACCTGACAGACACCGCCTGTCCTCAGTACACAGTCAGAACGACAACTTTTATATTCTATATTATTCGGTACTATAAGGAAGACAGTCGGATGTTACTGTAGGTAAGCTACCAGCCTGTAACGTCAAGTTACACTTAGAAATACTGATGAGACAGTCAGAAACTCCAAGGAGACATTAACACCAAGGAGACATTAACACCAAGGAGACATTAACACCAAGGAGACATTAACACCAGGAAGACATTAACGCCAAGGAGACATTAACACCAGGAAGACATTAACGCCAAGGAGACATTAACACCAGGAAGACATTAACACCAGGAAGACATTAACACCAAGGAGACATTAACACCATGGAGAAATACTACCATACTGGAGAAATAATTAGTTCTTAATAATTTGAGTAAAAACTTTATCACATAAACAAAATCAGATAAAGAAATAGAGAACTATCTGGGTTCGAACCCCACGACATAGTGCTTACCAGTTCGTTACGTTGCCCCATTCAACAACCCACTCTACATAAGTTGACTCGGAGAATATAGTTGATTAAATCACAACTGGTCCATCCCACGAGGGACCTCGGGAATGGAGTCAAACTTTATAGAAACTGTGATAAGCTTCAGCTTCCAATTTCTATAGTTTAAAATTGCTATTTCTAAGAGTAAAGATTACAATCAAGGGAGGACCAAAAGAAACTGGACAAGACTTGCCTGGTCGAGGGACCAGCCCGGCTACCACCCACACACACACCAACACCACTCCTCCGGCCGTCATCTTCATCTCTCACTCACAGCTACAAAGAATAACTCGTGAAAATATAAATTAGTATTTACAACTGAGTATTGAAACAAAAACATATACGTTTACTTGTCTTGATTCTTTTTTTTTTTACGAAAAATCAAATGAATGTTACTTGAACCATATAATTAAAATTAAAATGCAAAAAGCTTTTATAGTCACTGCCTAATTTGTTCAATGGAATATGAGTGGTAGAAAACACCACTAATTAGATTTTGATGTGATTACCTCGCGGGTGACGACTGGTTGCTTGTATAGTACTGCTTTGAGGGGAATATTGAAAGTATAGCTTCCTCTAGGATGTCTTAAGGTCCCTACACGCTGAGGTCCTGCTTGTTGATGTTCGTTGTTCCTTCCCTCGGCAACTGACTGTGGGTGAGGCAGTCCGCCGGAGGTCGTAGCCGCAAGGCATTGATTATCGTCAAAACTTGTTCACCCAGAGAATCGTAACTCAAAAGCGTGGAAGTGGGATATAGATTTCACATAAATATTAAAAAAGAGTTTTGTTTTTAATATATTAGCCATATAATAAATGTCTGTCCTTCAGTGCTTCTCTCGACTCGCGAATACCGGACTATACTTAAGATGAAATATATGAAAGTCTTAACTATGACTTTCCAAGCAGCCATGATATAAATAATATGACTGAGAGATCCGTCTTCCATAACCTTTTGACTATAATTTAGCTCATGGCGTCAGTGTCTCAGGGGGGATTATGGCTATGCAGAGCCAAGAAATTTAGAAAGAATAATACATAGTAATAGCTACACTTGCACCAGAGGTGGTACCCCTTCTAGGTTTAAAAAAAATAGTAATAGCAGTATTATTTGTCCGGCTTTGTGCATCTTCAGAAAACAAAACAAAATTTGCAGTTTAAATAATTCAATTTAATCAACTCTTGACTTCAATAAAACATTTTTTTTCCTAAACAGACCCCAATGTTTTGACTTCAGATGATTTAATAACCAATTACTTAACTCATTTATCTTTTCCGTCTACATGTTCTGTTGTTCACTTATGATATGCAGCTTTGTTCTAAATAGCAATTACGAGTCGTAATTTGTTAGAAAATGTCAATTTGATCAAGCGAGACTGAGGTCAAAGGTCAATACATTGATGCTTAATAACCATTTCTTTATTATGAGCGATTTCTAGTGACATTTTACGAAGAAGAGTAATGTGCGACGAACATATGCGTGTGTATATAACACAAGTTTCTAACTATAGCTCCAGTCTTGCTTCAGCTGCTGCTGTAGGAAGTATTATAGCCCCAGGTACAAGTGTTGACTAGAACTCAGTCAGCGACAATGTTTTGTATGTTGGTAAGTGTATTGTTCCTGTCATGCACGATCTCTGGGCTCCTGAAGGCGAGTCCTGTCGTCTCCTTGTGCTCCGGGGTATTGGAGGAAGTTCTGAGAGGTCCTCTGGAAGGCTGGAGCGTCGTTTTGTATCTGGATCCTGGACTTGATACGCAAATCCAGGACCAGCTGCTGGCTCTCCCAGCTCTCCAGGATACTCCTCGTGTCCTAGTGAACCTTGGCTCTAATGGGACTATTTGGTCCAGAGACCAGCACACAGCAGTACTTCGAGGACCATCATACATGCATGTTGTCGTCTTCAGGAAAGATCCCCGGCAATTCTTTAACGCCATAGCCAAACACTGGAACCCAACATATCTTATGGTCTTCTGTTTGGATGATGTAAATGCTCAAAATAGTCTTATGGATCACGTATTTCGAAGAATTGAAAAGTTAGTTTTCATTAGCAAAACTTCTCCGCGATCTCGTGAAACCGCAAAGATTTATACATATTTTCCATTCTCAAGGGCAAAGAAGCTAAAATTTATAGGATTTTGGAATTACACAGCCTATTCCAAACTTAAAAATATTTTTATAGATCGGTTTCCTTCATTCGAAAATTATGAATTTCAAATTGGAACATGGTTCGACGATTTTCCATTCTTATACCAAAAGAAAAATGCATCAGAAGGAATAGGTGATGGCGTCGCAGCTCAAATGTTGGACACCATCGCCGAGTCGCTCGACTACCGCTACACACTGACGCTGGAACCACCAGACTGCCTGTGGGGCTCCTTCATCAACGACTCCTGGACGGGCATGCTCGGGATGGTTCATCGCGGAGAGAAGAACTTCACCGTGAACACTATGTCTGTCACGGAAGACCGTTTCAGAGCCTTTGACGCCGGGGCATGGTACTGGATGGAGGGGTTCGGGTTGATGCTGAGGGACCCTTTACCCCTGGCCAAGTGGCGCGGGGAATACTATCCCTTCCGTCTCTCCGTCTGGCTGGCCGCGGCCCTCACCTTCACGCTCACCGTCCTCATCATGACCTTACAGGTATGTTCTAAGCAAATGCACAAAAAATTATATAATCGTCACAGGCATATTCCTTTGCTATGGATGTTGACGTGGTGGACATAATAGCCTAGATAAAGCTCCATACCTTCACATAGCTTAATAATGTTCTATTTATAAAAGCTTTAAAATGTTCTAAACCTTCTCAAGAATTGTTTAAAGTACTCCAGGAAGACTCTAGACTAATTTTCCAAACATCTATGGTCTAAAGATAGCACGGGAAATTTTCTAGCATCTCAAAACATGATTTTAATGCCAATTTCAATCCAAACTGAATGAATCTGTACAAGTTTATATTTATCTCTAAATGGCTAATTTTTTTCGGTCTAAGATGTAATGCTCTAGTGTGTGTCCTTGTTTTTGTCCACACATTTTATACTTTACTTCTCTGGATCCCTATAAAAACCGAACTGCCAGAAACACAGACATAATCATCAATAATCCCAATCTTTATGTGAAAGTTACATTTATGCTGTATCCAATCCCATGGTGTCTCAAGGATTGGATACAGCCGGAGCCATTCCTTGGCGGACTGGGTCGGACGTGGACGTACATGCTACGAACGGTGGTCAACGGACAGCTGCCGGTGCTGCCGAGGGCCCAATGGCAGCGAGTGTTCGTGGCCGCTTGGCTGGTCTATTGCTTCGTCCTCGCCACCGCCTTCACCGCCAACCTCATCGCCTTCCTCACCATCCCTGTGTTTCCCGAACGCCTTCAAACCCTCCACCAGCTGGCATACAGTGATTACAGGTAGTGGTATCTTCCCTAGCCAGGTACTGTCCGACTTACAATGGTGTGTTCTCAACCAATTATCAGCTGACTTGCAGCAAATATAGATAGCTGCGGTCATTCAGCTGGTTTTTAACTCTACTTTTAAATATTATCTTTAGATTCAGATTTTAATGCGTTTGCATTCATATGGCTGGTGGTGGGATGTTATGGGTATTCCAGCAGTGTTAGTGGGATGTTATGGATATTCCAGCAGTGTTGGTGGTATGTTATGGGTATATATCATGTATAGCCTTGATTGTAATACTTGAGAAATTATATTTGAAAATTGGAGGGTATTCGGAACATTCACGAAGCAGAATAAATCAGGTTTAAAGGAGTTGAATTAATTTAATCTACAATGCGATGGTTTTTAACGTATTTGAGATATATTGCCTGATCAAACACAACCCACGTGAATTGTTTAAAATTATATGCAGACGATTTCAGTCCACCAGAGAATACATTTTTTCCTTAATACAATTTTGTATACCTATCAGCCATCCATTAGGCGTAAAGTCTCATTAAGACACAATGGTCTGTTGCTGTATGTCTTGGTATAATTAGTGTAACCACCTCACTGGAACTCTAACGCAAACAGGAAGCCATGAAGCTCACACCGTCTTGCTCATAGTTCAACCCGTCCTCGACTCAAGTCCATTACATTCAGCGGTCAACCCCACAGACGCATTCATATATTTTAACACGCTGATCATTCAAAACGGGAATTTTCTCAAGTATAAATTAATATTATAATATATTAGCATATTGTGTATAAATAGGCATAGGTTAGGTTAGGTGTTTAGGTTCTGTTGGTGATTATTTGTATTTGTAGTACGTGGGTGAAGCATTTACAGCGTTGTGGTTCGAACAAAATTCGTCAGTGAAGCACTTGTTCCGGATATGTTCGAATGTCAGCAGTTGTGAGTCGTGTGTAAACCGCTTTTCATTCATAAACAGGGGGTTTGGCGGGTGCATGGAATCACTTTTGGATCTTTGTTTGGAGGACGGGCTGCATAGTTTAGTGCTGTAATAG